GCCGCCGAGTTGAATACTGGCTGTGTTCCTCCATCCGCTCCCTCGGTGTCGAAGACACGATAACATCCATTACCCTGTATAAGTGGACGATTGACAGCCACTGTTGGTTCCTTCACATTCTTAATTGTGTTACCGACGTGAAAATTATCAGCTCTGGTCGTTGGCCTTGGCTTTACTGTCTCCCGAATACAGTCCAGAAGCTCCTTGTTCGAGACACCAATATCTGTGTATGTCCGGGTCTATACAGGCTATGTGATGACTACAGCCGTCTTTCGTGTCTGATTTTGGATAGAGTAACCACTCCCTTCATTGCCAGTGCCTGTTTTATGCCAACACAACTTATCACTGACATCGCCCATAGGCTGATACAACTAACAACAGGAATTCTTGGGACGGAAAAACATGGAGAGTGGACCATGATGTTCTTGCGTCGCCTTTCCCTCCTGTCCCAAAGTACTCATGTGTCCTATCCGAGCTCGCAGTATATGATGATGGACCCCGTTATGCCAACATTGACCACATTATCGATGGAATCACAGGTCCGTTAGAAGAGATCCTAGCAGCATCTGATGTGAATACAGCTTGGCCACGGAGATTGGATGCAACCAAAGTGTTGACATTACAACTGGGTTTTGGGGATTCAGTGGATATCAACCCCGATGTTTGGAATGTGTGGAGTTTGTGTGTACATGATCTCACAATTGGTGGTAAGCATGCATCAACGGATTTGGGCAAATTCTGAATTACGTGGATTGCAGCTACCGATGACGACCATGATGCCGTCGTGTCTCTTGTAGACTTTATTCATCTGGATGACTTACATCTAGAGATGGATTTGGGTTCTAGATCCTTTCTCTGGGCCTTACAAGTTATCCGAACGTGGAGCGAGTCTGAAAAGTCGTCATTCGAGTTGGTCATATATGACGATAAGGCCTTAGAGAGTATTGACGAGCGGCGTTGCACCCTTGAGGTCCAGGATGCGGATACAGGGTGGTGGTCGGATTGCGATAGTTGGCAAATCTGGTGGAATTTTTTCACTGACACCTTGCTGGAGGGGTTCAGTCCCTGCTCCGAAAACCATGGCACACGTTTCCATGGTAAATTTGTAGTGGCTTTTATCACTTCGGAAGTGTTGGTTGGATTACCTCCCCCCAGTTCACACTTCGCTTACGCTGGCAAACTACTGGAGGCATACCACATGCGTGTACGATGGTTAAAGCTACAGGAACCCGAGACGACTGTTCGCTTATTGCCCTTCGAGGCCTACAGAAGTTTTTAGCTACTTTATTCTAAATTAAATTTTTGAGTATATGTGATTAGGACTAAGCCTGCGAGTCGTTTCAGCCTGCAAGGTCCCATACCGGCCGAGAGGTAACTACTCCCTATCTAACCGTTGAATTGCTAAACGCCATACGTTCCCGCCATTTCGATATTCGAGCCATGTGTTTTATAATACCTTTAGATTTTTTGTGTCGTATTTACAATCAACCTTGTGAATGTTTATTTTTTGATTCATACCTGGTTGTCAGATTTTGGGCCCAATAAAGCATTAGTATAATCTGTAAAGTCGCGAAAATATACCATGTTGAACAGAGCACTGGTCCTGTATTAATTAAGATCTTTAAATTTCAGCAAATTGAAATCAAATTGATGTGGCTGTGTTTCTTAGAAGCATGTCATATGACTTATTCATGACATGGTGTTTGTTGACTGCTTCTGTTTCTTCCTACCACCACTGATTGTATCGGTGACAAGGTGCGCTCAAATCCTCAGAGTTGGTTTCAGCCTGCTCAATGAGGCAGACTCCGAGCAGAAAAGCCACAGTATGGTCAGATTCTGCCCAGGATCCAGCATACTGAGGAGCTTCTCCTCAGATTCTGCCACACTCAACACAGCTGGTACTATTTCCTCGTGTTCTTCCTATGAATCTTCGCGTTCTCAAAGCATTTTCCTAGTCATACAATGCTGTGGACCCTCAAAGTAAGCCCTACATGTATGATACAGTTATATATACTAACATTTGATAGACTCGCGCCCGTTATTATTCCAGTGTCTTGAAGGCTCTACCAACACCACCTACTCTCATTCTTCAGGACCTCCTCAAAATGTCAACTGCCTTCGAGAATGAAAACATATGTGAGGACGTGGATGACCTCGATGAAGCCTATACTTCTGCAAGTTTGACTGTGGAAGCTAACGGCATGGCCTCTGTGCATGGTGAGGCTCAAATTCTTAACGGCATTGACGACATTTCTCTCCCAAAGTCCCCACGAACCATTGCTTCTCCCATCAACCCACATGCGACCCCGTACCGGGTTAGCCATCGAAATTTTAAGCGGTCCAAGCAACGCTGGGACAGAGATCCATATCCGAAACCTACAGACAAAACAGTCAGTAAGATTGTAGCAGGAGCTCTTGCGCGAGCTACTGCAAGCCACGTTCTTGAGAGCACTGTCCAGCTCTTGACCCTCCTGGTGGCGCATGGAGGCTATGCGGTGAAGGCAGAAACTCCGTATGGTGCCAAGAAGAAGTACACCGTCGAGGAGCTGGTGAATACTAGAGGCTTTCAATATGTGGCTTGGGACGGAAAGTATGCTGCTATTGCTTACAGCACTTGAAATCTTTCTAACAAGTTCTATGTAGAACACCACGGCCTATTATCAATATGAACGGCACTATATTCGCTGTTTTGGCCGGCCAGCCAGGTGATCCAACTTATCTCGAAGCAGCCAACAAAATGTTCAATGAAATGGAGGCAGAATCCAGCGCTACTAACATCAAGGCAAAGTCGAAACAGCCTCATCGCCGTGGACTGTTCACTGCTGTTAATGTGGGGCTATCATACAGCAAGGGGCAGCCTGAACCCTCGATGCTTAACATCCAGGATGATTACCAGGACTTCATTAGACGACTCATTCTCCAGCCTTCAGTGCAGCGAATTGCTGCTTTTGCTAGCGGTGAGGTCGTTTCATAGACAGATACCTGTTGCTTAACGCTGATTCTTTCAATTTAGCATTGTTCCAATTGTGGGGCCCTCGATTGTTTGCATACTACAAAGACCATCTAGACCATCTCCATCTACGGCTTGGAACAGCACCCTTATTCTCACGATCTATCTTTCCCTGTGCCGCTTTCAACTTTGGCAGGAACGTATGGACCTTTAAGCATAAGGACGTGCTGAATTGTCCCTTTGGATGGTGTGCTATTACTGCATTAGGGAATTTTGACCCAACGGCTGGTGCTCATCTCATCCTCTGGGAGCTGAAGATGGTCATTGAATTTCCGCATGCCGCTACTGTCTTCATCCCTTCTGCGACAATCACTCACTCTAATACTTTGCCGGCTTCTGGGGATCGATGGGTTTTGTTCACTCAATTCTGCGCTGGAGGACTCCTTCGCTGGGTTGATAATGGTTTTCGTATGGAGGAGATCTTATATCAAGAAAATCTAGAAGCATATAGACAGATGCAAGAGGCAAAAAACACCCGCTGGGAGCTAGGACTTAGCCTGTATTCTTCTGTAGATGAGCTTTTGTTGCCAGTGTCTGAATAGACGAATGTTTTAATATATTCGGCTCTAAGCTATAATATTAAGTTAGGAGAAACCACCATCATCAATTTTTGCAGGTGTGGTTCCTGACCTCTCTCACGTGAATGGCCTCCGAGTGGGTCTGGCGATGCTGCACATACTTCAGAGGGGCCTTATTCTGATGGGCAATACGCATATTGCACGAGTTATGTGAGTAATGTCCTAGTGGAAGTAGAGGCTGCGATGTTTCTTCGCTACCTGCTCCAGGCATCGACACATGCCGGCAGTGCTTCATAACCTCCGATGTGCTAGAGTGTGTTCAATTCCCTGGCAAGGCTATTGTTACATGGCCGACGCTTCCATGTCACAGTACCCTTCCCCTGTTCGCCCCGATATTCATAGGCGCATACTTTGTCTCTGCCTTAGCATCGTCCAACACAGGCGCTTCATGTAGCTAGCTAGTACACAATATGTTTTCCTTATGGAAAACAGTGCCATAGTTCTAATATTTCACCTTGCCATCGCCGAGGCCGTAAGGGAGTACTCATGATGGGGCTTTACCAAAGAAACAGAGCATGGTGTAGGTTTGGTCCCATAGCAATTAGTTGTTCCCATGGTAATATAGCTAACGTTATGCCTTCCCAGAGTAACTTGCTGCAATACGAACGCCGTTACGTTTTTTTAAGGAGGCACCGACGTCTAATAATACAAACTTCCTTCCATATGTCAAACTAAATTAGGACATTTTACGGCTCCTGAACCCCATACCTTCTCTGCCGTTTATGTGCTCTTGATCCACCTTTTTATTAAATGGCTACTTAAGATGAGCTAACCTTTCAGTTTTTCTTATGATGGGATTCATTTTGCTTTCCACTTCCCGCCGTCGGCTTCAATATATTTCATATGCTAACCACAGTTTCTCATTTTCCGGATAATCTTTTTGTCAGCATCTTCAAGTGCTGAAGCTGAAGTCCTAGCCATAACTGTTGCATATCCATGTGAAACAATTCAATACAAAGCCCTATATGTACTATTTCGTTTTATACCAAGACTACCGGCCATCGTAGGCGCGCGCGGCGGGCCGATTACTAGATGCAAATCCGAATTTGAGGCGGGTCTGCACACGTGAAGGTAAGCCCATTGTCTGCATTGGATAAATCTCATGCTTTACATTCTACACCTTTATCCTCATGGTTTCAAAACATCTCGCACGCATTGTTCCTCCCAACAAGCTCTGGGTTTTCTCATGATTAATACCAGTACGCAAGACTGCTGAAATATTGGTAGTAGCATTGTCAGAATTCTATATGTCGTGAGGAATATAACTTTTATGTCCGACCATAGCTTCAAAGACAAAATTTGTTACCTGGTATTGCGTTGGACGATGCAATTTACCACGTATATATGTACATACACCAAACAATGAAAGGGATATAAAAACAGTTTTGGAATACGATTATTTCAGTAAACAGTCAAACTTTTTTAAAATAATCTGCCCTGCTAAATTCCCACATCTTATACGCCTCTGCCTGGTTCGCAACCTTTTCACTTGTTGGCTCGACCACCAAATTGAGATCAGTATATGGTACTTGAAGTTCTATGTTCAGATACACCCATCTGCCCTCCTTCTTCCATTCGGTAACTCGCACATCCCACCATGTTACATCATTGCGGCGAAAATAGTGCAAACCCCGAACGAGTACACCGCAATGTTCACCTCGAATAATTACCCACAACGAACCATGCTGATTTCTAGGCGTGGGATGTCGAGGCAGTATCCTATGAGGCTCGATAATCCCACCTCTTAATAGACGCAATTGCATACGATTTTCATGTTGGATTAGAGACCCTCGACACTCCTGCCCGCCTACCATCACACGAACTTTCAAATCACCTATTGCTGCCATGCGTAAGTCTTGTGTCCAATGGCAATAAATGGAAGACTCTTCAGCTGGTACGTTTTCCCCAAGTGCTGCAGATGTATCAGCTATGGTAGAGCAAGTCGAGTTATGAGGGAAACTGGAAAACGGATTCCAAGCTGGAGACAGGGAGCCTTCTTCTGCTGTAGGAAGTGGAGTTGTGGAACGGGCTTCTTGGTGATGACTAATTGAGCTTGTATCAATGGGAGGAAGAAATCGTTGTTCAATTAATGAATCCAGTACCATCGCCAGAGGCAAGTGTGTTCTAAATTGGAGATTTGAGCAAACGGTAAAAGGACGGAGGATTCAAAAAAAAAATAAAGGCACTTACTGTGTGTCTACCACTTCTTTATATGGAACCCACATTTCTGAAAACCCCCTGCCTGTTTCAGGAGAGTAGCTCACACATTGAACCAACAACATTACTTGTAAATCGGGAATATATCTCGGCGTAGCACCCATTCCAGGAACTATTAATCCAGCAATAGTTGTAGGAGATTTAGTGTGTGACGAATGAAATGCGGAGGTCTTCGCTTCATAGACGGAGTGGTTTGTATCCAAGCATGAAGATCTCCAATGCGTTTTTTCAACCCTGACATCCTTGACGAATACCAGCAGCCCTCGAAATGGACTACCTTGTTTAAGTACGACCCCACACATTCCCACCCAGGGAATGGAACTATATGAAATGCATGTGGATGCAGGACGGATAGATTCAAGCGCAGATGACGAATTGTTTAATCGATTAGAATTCCATATCTGCACGCTGTTAGGATGAATGACAATCTGCTGTAAAATAATAAATTAGTAACTTAAAATCCACAACGCAGATAAATGCCATTATCGTTCCACTGGCTTTCTTCAGGTAGCGACAATCGAAGAGAAAAAAATAAAATAACGCTGAGTACTCACTTCAGCTGTTTGCTCCTTCTCTTGACCCCCACCCAACACAATCAAATGAAGCGCGTTTAACTCAATAACATCCACAAATCCACAAATATTACCCTTAACCACAAATTGACCTACTTTAAAAATCTTCTCGATCGCATGCCATTCTTTCACAATGAACCTTCCAGAATGTTTAATGTCATCGAGCTCGAGATAAGTGTCATGAACGTCGACTATAGTGCAAGTACGACTTCCACCGTCCTCGAACAATTGAGAAGAATGTTGGCTTGAACAACCGCGAACGATAACCGACTCCCCCAAGTAGAAATTCCAGCTCTTTGGTCGCGGAGTTCGATGCCTATTTCGAGCAACCAATGGATGTTTGCTCTTGATGAACAAGTGCAATAAATTGTCATCGATGCAGTTAACTGGGCGCAGACAATCAAATGGAACGGTTTCTCGCAGCAAGCCGTATTCGTAGTCTTGACCTCTGAAGTCAAAATGTGTGTCCTCTACTATTTCTCACAACAACTCTTCACCATGGATGATGGCCATTTTTGTGGCATCAAATAGCATAGGCTCCAACGACTGGACTGGGTAAGTGTCGTATGCGCCCTTTTGCAAAGAAAGCATTGGCACCATAAGAATGTCGTACCTGGGCTGATGGGTATCTTCTGACGAACCAATGACAAAAACAGGCCGGCCCATAGACGATCCATATCCAATAGTGCGCCAGCGATCACCGACAGGTAAATCAGGTTCGCGGTATTTAGGCACATACGTCATTACCTTGTGCCACTCACTGTAGTCCACCGCATTTAAAATGACACTATCGTTGAAGACAACTATGCCAGGGACAGTCTTAAGCCAGTCTTTGAGGGCTTTAGACATCTGCGCTTCCAGGTAGACGCAATATGGATCGGAAGGGATTGAAATCACCGCTTGTACGAGCATCTGAATGATTGGAACATATTCGGAACATGAGAGTATGTTGGCTGCAATGTAATGGCCTCGGAGATGCTAAAGAAACGAACCAAGAAAAAAAAATCAGCATGCTATTAAAAAAGTCAAACGCTAAAAGGCTGTATACCCTGCATTTCATTCTCCATATATACGATTCGTCGATCGAAGCATGATATTAATGGACCAGCTGCAAGACCAGTCTACAATAAAGCACATCAGAAGTCGGACCAATTACACAAGCTTCACCAAAACGAACCATGTTGCAGTCCTCCGCACCATATTGATTGCAATTATCAAGCTATAGATCATAAGAAAGCTGACTTCAATGAAAGTTACGTGCACATACCGAATCATTGCCGTCTATAGATCTCTCACCAAACTCAGTATCCCAGCGCCGAATGACATCAGACAGATAGGTCGGTCCGATACGTTCACACGTAGTACTGGTTATAGTATGTTTTGGAAGATCTGTATTATCTGCTTCATCTCTTGTGCAATGAATTGATCCAGTTCTTCATCGTCAGCTGATTCTTCTTCACAATCGTCATCCAATGCTTCCATATCAAGAAAGAGATTTCGATACTGCTAAGTAACAAGGTTATCAATACGTATAGACCATTGAAACACTCACTATGTTCGGTTTCGAGTTAGAGCTTGTTACAATCCTTCCCATAGGTGTATTCCGTGACTGCTGTATATTTTCTTGGCCACTGACTTCATCAGCATCTTTGTCAAAATCATCCGAGAGTGTGTCATAAGTTGAACTCTATAAGATTAACAATTGAAAGAATGAAACTTTGTATCATAGATGTAATGAACGAACACCCTTACTCGACTTTCCAAGGTAGTACATCCGTCATCGACATCCTTAAATGCCTCTTTGCTTTCTTCACGTTCGATTAATGCGTGGGCCTTGTTTTTGTCTGTTTCCAATTGTGCAGCTCTTGCAAGACCTTCTTCATACATCTGTCTCCACTGTTGACAATAGCTTTGAGTCATAAAAAAGAAATGATTGCCGATACTTACCGCTATCATCTCGGTTGCTTTGGTCCTAGCCATGGCATATAAGAAGTCCAAACGATGCAAATAGGTAGTTCTACAAGGAAACCGATAGAATGTCAGACTGTGACGATTCGGTAGAGGTGAGCAGACTCCGCATCAAAAAATCAATCCCATATATGCCACGTGATTAATACGTAAAATGAACTGTTAAAATGATCTGTAATCGAAGCATATTAACCATGTGACAGACGCGTTGACCGTTCCTTATGGCAGTCCCGGGTACCAGGCTGTATACGCAGGGGATTTCGTGAACAGTTATCCTAAAGAGGCAGCAACAATTACGGGCTACTAATCCGACTCGCCATATACGCGTAGAAGTACCATCACCCAAACATTCAATCAGTTCCTCGCACTAATTTTATTTTATATGCTGCTGCAGCTTCCATGTGGGCTGAACAAAAAAAAAAGGACAAAACTTGGAAAAAAAAAACCGCGTAATACGTGCCTTATAATGAGAGGAAAAGCCGATCGCTCAGTCATATTCTGACATACTTCGCATTTCTTTACTAGCACAAGGCTTTGGCCGATATAGGATTTGGTCCCACATTGGTTCGTTATATGCTCCGTAATGATTTCGTCGTACAGCGCATTGTTCATTACAACAATGGCGGGTATCCGACGTCGATATATCATCTTACAACACCTAGTACATGCCGAATTTTGGGAAAGCAATCCATCGAGAATGTGAATACACCGAAGATGGAGAAGGATGGAGAAGGTAAGATAAGGGACTGACATTTTCTACGAAGAACAGGAGGAAGCGCTGAGACGAGACGGGGAATAAAAAAGAGTGAGACTATCGTAACCTTTCTAACGATATCAAGAGGCGAAACCAAATGAAGCATTGTCAGTTCAGTATACGGACGAAAATAAACAGCGTGAAGCTCTAAAAACAATAACTGTACTTTAATATTTCCACATCTTCCCATCAAAATCCAGTGTCATGTAATATCCCTATGCTCGAAGATAGTCGACCTAAAGACTTACCGTCTAGACGGGAATGGAATGCGAAAATGTACTCATAGTCCCGTTCTCATCTCTCAGTTTCTTCGATCCCAACAACCTTCATTTCAACCAGCCATCACATTGAATATTCCGTATCTTTTTTCCTCGTCTGCTATGGCATAGGGCACAACGTAATATCCGTAGCCATATTCGAATGGGACTTGAATACGCACTGTTGGTTTCTTCATCTTCTTCAACATATAAACACTGTTCGTATTATCGAATGTCACTTATGGTATTGGCTTTATTGCATCCCATCGAGCACCACCAAATTGGTCATAAGGAAGGCTGAAAACCAGGTACTTCCGGATCCATACCGGATGACCGTGCATAACTCACGTCTTTCGGGTCTCACATTGGATAATTAAGCGTCCCTTGCACTGTACATACTGCGACCGATAAAACTATGTTTTTTCTACTAATAAGGTTACAGTTGAGCATATTCCAAAACGAGGAAGATGAAAATGTCTGCTGTGATGTGAGATGCTGAACATGAGCTCGATGATCCAAAATGTCCCTTACATCGTACGGACCAATCACGCTTAAAGAGTTAACGAATTACCATGATTTGGATGAAATTGCTCAAGAGAGTGGATACAAACCGATCGATGAATTATTGTATATGCTAGTAGGGAGGGGATTGCAGATCTCTCCGAAGACAGACTGGATACCTCTGCTCTTTGAATGAATGGTAGCCCTTAATACTTTGCGCTGTGAATTTAGCAAGCATGCATTCCTTTTCATATGACCAAATACCTGGGAGTATCTGATGAATAGCTGATCGATTAGATCTGTAAAAAGGTACACGGTTGAGCGGTACCAAAAGCTGTGTGTAATACTGTATGCTCATTTATTACCAAGAGAAGAAATCCTATGGCGCTCCTACAGATCCAAAACTTCACATCAATCTCTAAACGTCGCATTGAAATAAGCCTAGAGAAGGACGAATGCGTATCATGGCCACTGAACATTGCACGTCAATGGTCTTGTCATAGGAAAACCGATTTATACACACACACACACACACACACACACACACACACACACATATATATATATACGAAAAACAGCCCTGGTCCTTGATGGATATGTATTTTTGCAATCTGCGCATATTCGCTAATTCTCTACGAAAAAAAAGCTAGTATCCAACATTCATCACTACTTTCTACGATGGCAAATCGTGTTTATATATCCCCACCCTGCTACCTTACGGGCATATAGTACCATTTTAGATAGATTGAACATATGGTTAAAAACACGATGAACAATGATACGATAAATGTAGTGGTGTCCTGATAGCAGTACCAATGAGACGAACGTTGAAACTCCGAAGAACCGTCGGGGAAGCGGTTAGTGGTCGGCCAATGAAAACGATTGTCAAACATAGTGATTGTTACTAGTTCTCAGCACTTACCCATCATACGCGATATTTACTAAATGCAGCTGCGAATAACTATTTGTCAGTGTTCATTGATATAAGTACATTACTCCGTATCCCTCTTTACATACATATAGCTATCGATGTATCAACTCTTCTCGTAGTAGTAGTCCACTCCCACTTATGGTCCTTTAACTGGAATTGAGTCCGCGAAATCAAGTCCATTGAGCTCAAGTTCATCCCACATATCACCGCTAGCGGCAATACATACATTACACGCTAGACGTCGGATTGATAGCCGGAAGATCGCCAGGAACAATGTTCGAAACATAGTTACCACCCACAAATCCCGCCAATCGTATATCGTGACCCATACTTCGTAATTCCGCTAATCGGGTGATCACTTCCTCATCCATGCGAGGAAAATTTGAGAAATGGGCTATCGGCATCAATTGTCACTGCAAGATGGCTCAAGATATCGGAAGTGGGAAATGACGTTGTTCCACCATGGGCACCAAATCGTCACAGCAAAACTGATATCATGC